TGGAGGACGGGTGTTGGCGAAGATGTAGATGAGGTTAGTGTCCAAACTTTTCTAATAAAATAGGTCAAAAATATAATGAACTTGGTCCAGTTTAATTGAAAATTAACCTGCTTGCATGGAAAACATCCGGTTTGTTCAAAATCACTTTGGAATGTATGCGGACATGATTAGATGGCAGGCTCCCGTATCACTGTTCGCGGATGAGTCCGCGGACGGATAGCGTGTCCGTTTTAGGACTCCACGTTGGAGATGCTGTTAGACAATTTGTCGTGTCGGCAGCTTTCAAAAACCCTAGTGCCCTGATGTAATTAGAGAGAGGGAATAGGAATTTAGGCCTATGAGATATAAAGTCATCAGTTTGGTTCGAGGGAATAGGAATTCATGAAGGATTGGGCTTGTGAGTTTAGAGTTTCACTCCCAGCATTTTATTAACAATGGAGGGGTGGGAAATTAGTGGGAATTGATCTATGGAGAACATCTCGGCCTTTCATCATAACTTAGCTTGTCATCTCTCAGCTCATCCCTAATGAATTCTCACTAAACAAACAAGGGAATAAGCAAATCTCCCAAATTCCCAAATGTAATACTCTCGTTATACCGAACAACGGAGTGAAAATAAAATGTCACTTGCCATGTCTAATCTCGTCACAATTCCCTTGTCTAAATTCTCATTCCCCTTCCCAAAAGTTACCAAACACGTTGTTGGGACATGTTTTCAAAAATCGGGTGAAGGCTTTCGGAAAGTGAAAAATGAAACCTTCAAAAAATGTTATTCAGTGGTTTTGCCTTTCCATGCTATATTTGTTTCACCAACTCCCATTGTGAATATGCTTAGTTTTCCTTTTTGTGATGGTGAATATGTCTATTTTTTGCGTGAATATGTCTAGTTGATCACTAGTTACGAACAAATCATATTTCTTTCATATTCATCATCCCTTCTTCCCACTCACCTCATCTGGACGGATACTATTAGAGTATTGGTCTTAGTTTGCTTTCTTGTACTTTCTCTTCTGGTGTCACTGGGTTGGATTGTTCTTTCATACATTGTGCTCATTAGGGAGGGCATCTCCAACACGGACCCTCGAAACGCCCTATAAATGCAGTTTCCCATCCAAGGCGATGGACCTATTGAGACGTATGTTTTCTCGCAAACCGGATGCGAACCAGGGCTGGTGTGCCACGTACGCGCACGCCACCGCCTAGGTCCTATACCCAAAAAGCTCTCCCGCTTCCGTCCCTTCTCCCGTGCGAAGTGGTTGCCGCACATTCATGACGGTCTATAGCGCCAGTGCCGCATTTATGCAGGCCCAGAGTGGATGCGTCTTCTCACTCGAGTCGGCATTAAAGCGGCGCGCCGAACAAGAGCGCTGCCCGCGCCTTGTCCTAGTCGCCGCGCATGTTCAATGTTGGAGCGCCGTGGCTGAACGGGACAAGACATCTATCTACCACATCCATACCGGCTGCCCTGTCCGTCTCCTTGCCAGCATTAAACTGACA